ATAAACTGCCCAACAAATACCCTTAAACAAAGGAAAAGTACGTCCTTTATGAAGGCATAGAGCCACTACATGAAAATGAAAATTAATGAATACACTGTGTACAGTAATTTACCTGATAAGACAGACCTCAGAAAAATACTTTATGAGAGCTTTTATACTTTTATAAAGCTGTCTATAATGAAAATTAATTAACTAAGGATTTTTTGCCCTGCCAGGGTGTGGCCGAGTTATCCGGAGTGCTGGGTTATAGAGAGCCGAGTTTTCGAGGTTCTACTGTACTCAATAATTCAAAATTTAATATATAAAATTACCAATTGGACCAACTGGTTTTTCCTTGAATTTATTTTGTTTATAATATCTGTCTATCACATCCAACAATTCTGGCATGTAACGACCAAACCTTCGAAGCTGATTTGTCCGGCTGCTTTCTAAATTCATAATGGACTGCTGCAAAGACTCTATCTGATGACGAATGTTTCGATCTTGCTGCCTGAAAGATATAATGGTTAACACTCATTCTGCATATAGTAGTCCAAAAGTTTCAAAACCTTAAGTGTTTTCAAAAACTAATTTATTTCTCAAGTATATGGTTATACATTTTAAAATAAATTTTACCAATTACAATAGTTCCTACTAAGAATTAATACTTTGTACGCTCTCCATGTTTACCTAAAGAATTAATAGAGGTTGTGGCCAAAGTTCAAACTTTAAACTTGTATGGCAAACAGAAGTACACATTTGATGTTTGAACTCCAAGCAAAACATGTTGCACCACATGTTCACATCACGCACTGATTCATGGAATATTGTTCAAAAATGGCAGAAACATTCAAGAGCAATGAAGGTTACCAGCAAAGGTAAATAAACAAAAACTATTTCTAGAAATTTGCAAATGAATTATGCTGTTGATGGTAGAAGATGCCATGAAAAAAAAAATCTATTTTTACAGTGTTATGATAAGCTATTATAAACACAAATATATGAAAATTTTATAGGCACTTCACATCATTTGTAAAAAAATTGAATAATTTCTGGATTGAAATTGTCTGTTGCTTTACAGTGTTATTCACAAATTCTTAAATAATCATTATTTTAATAAAATAAGTCATAATTTTAACCCAAAACACAGAAAAATGCAGACGTTTAAGCCAAACTTATACTTGTCAGGTTCAACATTCCAAATGCCATTGTCAAACTTCTAGGCTTACAAAATGGCAGAGCTTGATATTTGATGTTCACATTTTAGAGATGAAAACTTTGGCCACAACCTCTCTATTAATCCTGAAAGAAAACTATCCACCAGGTCAAAACAACTGATCACCAGGAATGGCAGCCTACTTATCCTGAACTCTATCAGTTGTGCTCAAATTTTTGGATATGAATGGTGAAAAAACACTGTCTTAAAGCTTTAGTGAGAAATATATAGGATTCAGATCAGGGAAGCTGCCTTTCCTTTTACTTTAATTACCTTAAATTACCTTCCTGTATATATGACTTCTGATCAGATAGCGTTACCTTAAGGCAGTGGTTCCCAATTAGTTTATCCTGCGTACCACTTCAAGAAAGAGCTCAAACTCGCGTACCACTTATAGCAGAAATTCATATTAATCCATACTAATATTATAAATTCGAAGGTAATTCAGTCTGTCTGTCACCTTTTCACGTCTAAACCACTAAACAGGTTTTAATAAAATTTGGCACAGAGATAGCTTACATGTTGGAGATGGACATAGGCTACATTTTACTGCGAGAAAATATCTTACTCCCACGAGAAAATTCGATATAATGCGGACGAAGTCATTTTCGAGTTGAAGTCAATGACGATGTTTAGTTTTCATGTTTATCATGGCCAAAAATCCGCTCTCGCAGAGGTATGTTGTGCAAAATGGTAGTAAATATTTTATTGCCGCTTCGCTGACATGATAATAATGATAATTGTACAATTAACACAAATTGTGTTAATTGTACAATTTTTGTTTCTTGCATAATAATTTCATTTAGGTATTATCACAAATGCATGTTTTTGATGAAATTTCGAGAATATTTTTAGTTATAAATAAACGAATTTGTGCATTCGACATCATGTTGTAAATTGCTGAATTTTTGATGGTCCATCCATTATTTTTTTGATTGCTTCATCTCATGCATTTAAATTTTAAATCGACCGATTTTAGATTGCCGCGCGTACCCCTTCATGCAATTTCGCGTACCCCCAGGGGTACGCGTACCACTAATTGGGAACCATTGCCTTAAGGTAATGCTATCTGATCAGAAGTCATATATACAGGAATCAGAGTTGCCGATTTTCAGGGGTCAATTTCTGAGTTTTCAAGCACCTATAGTAATTCTGAATATCTTGTACAAAAGATAATTGTTTTAAGTAAAAATTCAAGTAAAAAATTATGCAATTGCCAAAAAAGCTGTATTTTTTTTTCCTTCTTTTCTTCATCCAGCACTGCAGATGCTCCTAGAGAAAAACTACTGGGTTTAGAAAGTTCATGTTTTAAACTTACACGACTCTTGTGATCACTGAAACTTCTGGGTTGATAGGTCAAAGTTTATGGGGTTCCCCATAGAACCATTTTATTTAATTTCAGGCTCATAAGAATTAAAATTACATTGAAATTAATGATTTTTATTCAAAATGTAATCCAGAACAAGAAAAGCTCAAATTTATGCAAATTAAAACTTTTTATAACAATTTTGCTAATGGTGTATATTGAAAGCATTCAGTTTGCAGCTGTTGTTGAGCCTAATCAAACTATACTGTACATACATCAAGGTCTTGATATAACAACACAATCATTAACCAAAACAATTAACCAAAATCAAACCATTAACCAAAAACAATTAATATTCATTTATTCAATCAATTAATATTTGGTTAATAAATCATTAACCAAAAACAATTAATATTCAAACAAAAATATCTGAGATGCAAAAATTGCACCAAGTAAAAAATTATGACAATTTAGATGACAGTCAAATTTTTTTCTTAGGAGTTTTTCTAAGCTTAGCACTTCAAAGCAAAATGTAGAAAACAATAATAAAAGTCTTGTGGGTACAGTTGAAAGCACCAAACATATCTTTACAAAAAGAAAAAAAAAGAAAAAGAAAAAGACTGTCATCTGAATTGCCATGTTTTATTTGGTGCAATTTTTTTACATCTCAGATGTTTCTGTTTAGATTCAGAAACTTCTGAAATCATGATTGTGGTGTGATATTTTGCACTACCTTGCATGAACATTATAAGATGCTATTTTGAAAACTGCTATACATTCTTCAGTGAATCTTGATACAAAGGCAAAATGATATTTCAGTAGTAGTCACTACTCACAGTCTACTTTTCTGGCAGTGTGCAAATTTTGTCTTGCCATAATGGGAAATTCCTGCAGCTACCATAATCTTTAAGGGAAACTTGGAACAAGCAATGGAAATAATTTTTTCTGGAGATGCAGTGCAAATTCTCATATTTTGCCTGTCAGGCTCTGTGTAAGATTCTATTGAAATTTCATTAGTAAAAAGAATGTGATTTTGCAGAGTTCTTCCTTCCAGAGTACCCTCAGCATATCCCCTTCCTTTTTAATTTCATATAAAATTATAGCCTTTCAGCAATTTTTTCACTCAGCAATGGTTTAAACATGTTTTATAGGCAAAAGCTCCCTTGGTATCAATTTGAAATAGCACCTAATTGAAGTAACATCAACTATTTTCCTTTTTATCACGTAACCAGAAGAAAAGTTACTTTTTTACAACAATGTGCACGTTCATCATTTCTCAGATCTGCAATGAAATTTTTGTAAGCCTCCCAGACATTTTCTTATCCTTTATATCACCACCCTTTCATCTTATTCACCTTTGTACAGTACATTGTTCTACCCCAAATTCAGTTTTCCATTATTTTGGCAATACTGAATCCTTGTTTGTGCAGATTTTGAATTTTAATCTACTGGATCTCATGAGGCAAAACTATTTCTTTGCAGAAACCATATAACAGTAGTCAAAATTCCTTCTTTTCCTGAATGTGGTTTTGCTATTAAACTACAGAACAACAACAAAGATTTATGGGATCCGTAATCATTTTTCTTATCTTTTCAGTACTTATGGTTCAAAATCGCCAAGGTTGCAAATTTCCAGATTAGTTTTATGACGAAAAATATTACAAGCTATAATGATGACAATTACTTTATAGTGTCACTAAATTTCTGTTTAAACAATACTTGATAGGGCAGCACACAGAATCCGTTACTTTTTTATAATATTGCTTTGCAACAGAGCCTTCACTAAAAATGGTCATTTCGGGAAAGTTTTTGTAAAGTTAATGAAATGTCCAAAAAATGTTTTGGACATTTCATTAACACTACAAAAGTGTGTTTTTTATTTTTGCTTTATTCAATGGTGTAAGTATATATTCATCAATATTATCTAAAAAAAATTAACAACAATAATATGCATAACATCTTTTTAAAGCAAAATACATCAAAAATGAAGATTAGTTGTAATTTCATGCATACAATTTAAGAAATATAAAAACATCAGTAACTTTTAAAATTAAATTTACATTACATGCATAGAAGTAATGTTTTTTAATATAACTACAATCTTTCTTGTGACGATAACTAAAATTGTAAATGTTTTATTCAATTTTAGTAATGTTCTCGGAAATAATCAGGCGTTCCTAAAATGATAAGAATTTTTGCTGAATAATGATAATGATATTATAGGATATAGTAATGGTATATTTTAATTATGAACGATAGTTTCAGAAATTAAAGCTGTTTATTTATAAAGCCATAACATTTGTACTTAATTAACCGTTTACCGCCGCCATCTTGTTTACGTTTATTTTGTAATCCGTCCTAACACAATATAGGTCAGTCAGGCGATATTATTTTAAAAAATCACCAAAAATCACATACATTTATTAATATCTTTAGTTTTAAATACAATATTTTTCAATACATTTTATTAGAAAAATTTGTAGAAAAAAAATAATATATATCAGAACTGACATTTAAACTTGATAATTTGTAACTTTTTGTCAAAATTAACATTGCTTAGTTGGCAATGAGCCAGAAAGACGTAGAACATTGTTCTGTACAACTCTATATAACACTTATGCATGTACGTTTATTCATTGTGAAGTTATCACACATTATATCAAACATTTGTTTGAAATTAAAACTTTATTGTGCTTTCAACTAACATAATGAACTAATATACTTTATTCACTTCATATCGAACAAGAATATAAATTTTTGTAATAAACATATGATTATCAGTAGTAATACATGCAATGTTCTCTCTAATTTTTTTTGTCGATGAGTGGAACATATACTTCTCTGAGCAAAAAATATTTTTGCTGAGCATATATATNAGAACTGAAAGGTCCTAACTTGAATATTTATAACCCGTTGACTTATTATAGCTGAATAAACTTATTATAGCATGAATGAACTTATTATAGTAATATTATTGCATAAATATGCTAAAAATGAAATAAAAAATTATCAGGAGGAAATAAATTTAGAAAAAAAATTATTAATTAAAATTTTTTAAGTCAACAAAACACCACCTGGACAAAAATATGTGAAACAGATGATAGACAAGATGCTGTTGTCAAGTGCTGACATCTGTTGTCCATAAATTTTACAAAAATTGATTTTTACTAGGTACCCTCAATGAATCAGTACCCTTGTGGTTTTGCTTAACAATGAGATACCGACCAATTGGTACCCTTGGAAAGAAGGGATTAAAAGAAGCAATAAATAAAACATAAAACTGGAAAGCTCAAGGGTGAATGGACTGCAAAATTTTTGGTGGAAAAAATTTACAAGCGCTCACCAATATTTGACAACAATATTAAATGACCGTCAATAATCCTGATAATATACCAAATCACCTCATGCATAGAATTTGTAGATTACATATAGTATGTAATCTACAAATCAGGAGATGCAAGCAACCCAAAAATGATTGTCCAATTACCTGCTTACCAACAATATACAAAATTTTAAATGTCTATATTGGTTGAAAAAATAGATAAACATATAGAATCAAACAACATACTCAACGACAAAAAGGTTGTATCAAGCATTCTATGGGTCGAAAGAAACAACTGACTATTGATAGCTTTATATTGAATCATGCCAGAAGAAAATCTCAAAATTTATCAATGGCTTATATAGACTACCAAAAAGCCTTTGACTCAATATCTCATTCATAGCTATTGGAAATAAAATTTATAAAATCAATGACACTACTATTAATTATTTGTCCGTTGTAATGAAATGATGGCGAACAAAATTAAAATGTGGAAACAACAACTGAAGATATTGATATAAACAGGGACATCTTTCAAGATGATTCATTGAGCCATTATGGTTCTGCCTAGCATTAAATCAATTGTCAAGATAACTAAATCAATCAAAAGAAAGGTTATACTTTAAAAAATGCAAGACAAAGTATACAAAAATCACATCTAATGTATATGAACGATATCAAATTTTTATCAGCTTCACCAAAACAACTAGACAAGCTTCTAAGCATAAGAACACATTACAATCAATATATTAAAATGACATTTGAAGTTGAAAAATGTGCAATCTACATGTAAAAAAAACGCAGGTTTTCAAATGGTATAAATTACAACATTAATACGAACAACATTATAAATTCATTGGAACAACATCAAACTTACAAATATTTGAGAATATTGCAAAATAGATATGTGAATCATACAGAACTTAAAAACTCTTCAGAGAAAAAATGTAAATTGTTTAAAATCTGTATTAAAAACAGAACTTGATGCCAGCAATGCAACATTGGCATTGCCCATGTATTTATTGGCAGTGATTATCAGTACATATTTGGTATTTTTGAGTGGAGTGATACAGATTTGGAAGATCTAAATAAATATACAAAAAAAATAATGATAAAATATTGTACACCCCATCCTAAAAGCTCTGGATAGATTATATATGGCAAGATGTGAAAGTGGATGAGGATTGATTGAGATAAAATATTTGGCTCATTCACAAATTGAAAAATTACAAAAATATTTTACAGAAAGAAATAATGAATTACAAAGCAATTGCTGAACTAGAAGATAAATTACCATGCTAAATCTAGTTGGAAATGTCAACAAAATTGAAATCTCAACAGAGAACAAATGTAATAAATGGCTTGAAATGCAACTACAGTAGAGCATCGATTATCCGAAAGTCAATCATCCGAAAAAATTCCAGTCGGCAAATTTAAATTTTCGCCACTGCTGTGTCGCTGCAATCTTTGGCTATGTCCTGGGCCACTCAAATATTTTACATTTTTGATACTAAATTAACTTCTGAAAGTATAATTTTTTATTGTTTTTATATTTTTCAATATATTTATTTTGTTTGTACAAAATAAAAAAAATAATTTTTAACGATACAATAGTCTTCGTTAGGCTTAACATCGACGAAAATTCAATGCGAAGCGACACACAATGGAAAAAAATGTCAAGATGGGATAAATTAATATATTTTTTCGTACATAATCGGTTATCCGAAACATTGATCTTCCGAACAACCCCAGTCCCCAATTGATTCGGATAATCGACGCTCTACTGTATATGGTCAATTTCCACATTTACTACACAACACAAAAATTGATATTGAAAACTAAATTATGGCTTCACAAATCAAACATCCATGCCAAACTGATGGCTTTATATGTGCCATTCAAGATCAATCAATAACAACAAAATATTATCAAAAAATGATATTGAAAGAAAACATTAATGGCAAATGTTGAGCATGCAAATCGGCCAATGAAACAATTCAACATATTATTTCTGGATGCCAGGCACTTGTGCTAACAAAAAATACTACAAGACAATCAAATTTCTAAAATAATTTATCAACAACTTGCCAAAAAATTCAAACTTCTTAGTAATATGGCATCTTACTACAAATTCAACCCACCTCCAGTTATTGAAAACAAATCAGCAATATTATACTGGGATAAACAACTAATAACAGACAAATTAATTGATTATAATAAATCTGATCTTGTTCTTGTTGATAAAGTTTCAAGGAAAACCTATTTCATTGAAGTGTCAAAACCTAATATCAAAAACTTAGACCAAAAGTAGAACAAACAAAAATTCTCAAATATCAATCACTGAGAAACGAAGTTCAACAAGTTTGAAAGTAAAAGGAAGTACTAATAATACCGATAATTATGTCAGAGGCAGCTCTAATTCCAAAAACATTAACTATGTACCTAAAGAAACAGCCACTAACTGTTGACCTTATACCAGTAATGCAGAATGTTGTTTTGCAAGCATGCCACATCACTCGTAGATTTCTCAACCTTAATCAACAACAAAAAAACAAGGGCTTGGTTTTCATTAACCCGCCAAAATTACCAGTTGAACCATGAGAAACAGACATAACAATAATAATCTTAAATTCTAAATTTGTACCTGAAATTATGCATTTCTTCAGTTGCTTTGTTGAGTGAGGCTTCTATCTTCTGCTGCTTAAATTCAATATTTTTTCGTTCAGCAAGGAGCTCTGATTTTTCTTCTTCAAGCAATCTTATATTTTCTGATCTTTTTTGTCTTTCTGCTGCATAATCTTTCTGATCACTATTTAAAAAATAATATTTAAAATTTTATATACAAGTTTTCTATATTTACTTATAAATATCATTTGCATAAATTTAAACAATCTCTACTAAAAATAATCTTATATTTAAATAAAAAATTAAACTGATCTTACAGATAACTCCAGTATTAAAATTATAAAATTCAATATGATATTTTTACTGTAAAGAGATTAAAGGATATTTTGACTGAACTGGAATACTGATAAATTTAATTATTTGATTCAAAATATTTCTGTTTATTATTTATTTTAAAAGATAAATAATTGTAAAAAGTTACTAAATTCATATCTAAAAATAAATTCCTTATCAAGAAATAAAATATAAAAAGTATAAAAATTGGTTTCCTTTCAATTATCTTGGCTTTACAGATTGGGCAAATTCTGCTGATAGTATCCTTAAAACTTCCTTTCCACCTTCTCAGTCTACCTCTTGATCATTTACCCCAGTATATAACTAATTATTGTTTAGACCATCTCTACTGCTCTGTTCTCTCCAACATTATCTTTCCATTTCTTTCTATATACATTAACTAGCAGACTCCCGCCACACGTTGTTGTGGCTCAAAATGTATCTATTATAAATGTATAACACTTCCCCCGTTGGGGGGGAAATTTTTCGAAAAATCCCTTCTTAGTGTACATTCTCTTAACGTACCCTATTAAAACGCAATCAAAAACGCCAAAAACTGCATCTAAAATAGTATAATAGAAGCCAAGTTCTTCACAGTAGCCTTAATCCTGTCCATCTCCCCCAGTGGGGGAATTTTGGCATGTATATTATATAAAACACGTGCGTATTCGAATGCAGCATTGTGTCAAAATTTTAAAGGAATCGGTAGGAACAAACAAACATTACATTTTTATTTATATAGATAGATAGATGATGATCTGCTTTACTTCATCCTCACAGTAAAGCAAACTTAGGGCGTCATACTCGTAGCGCCATCTGTTGGACATAAAAGCCTTAACCCTAGATGATATATTTTAACGGTATAACGGTATAATATACAGCCTATGACCACTCTTAAGTTCCATTCTAAATATTGGTAAAAGAATTTTTGAAATCGGATGAGTAGTTTCGGAGATTACCCGCTACATATAAACTTACAAAATATTACCTCTTTATAATATTAGTATAGATTTCTTGTACTAAATTATTTATTTTTAGCTCATCTTATTATTTTATTTCTTTTCTTATTTAATTGTGTAACTAGGCTATAGTTTTAGTGTTCGTACTTACTATACTTTTTTCTCTACTGTCCTAATTTTCTCTCAAAGTCCATGGTTCCCTACCAAATGTTAGTAGTAATAGTGATTAGTATTTCATATAATTTAACCCTTTCCTGTCACATGACAGGAGCTGTACTATTTGTGGGTCCTGATTGGTTGATTTACAAAGAGATAGGCAGGAGGTCCTGCCTGAAGCTACCGATAGACACAAGGTAAAGAGAAAGGACACTTTTGGGTTAGACACCAAGGAGAGAGGTCGAGCAAGAGTGACTGGAGGACCATGTGTAAGGCTGGGGGTGAAAGAGAGAAAGGGCCAGCATAGACCAAGTAAGAATGGAAACAAGAAAATAATTGGGATAGCCATTCCAGAGAGGTCCAAGGAACTGCTTCGGCACATGTTTATTAATAACTGCTTTGTACCCCACTGGATGCTAACAGATTGTACATTCACTGTGCATGAAGTGATCACTGTCGATATTCACCTAGTTCAGGACCCACAGGTCTAGCTACCAGTAAATTTTCTAACTATCCTTCCTTTCCTCTTTCTACTAGTAACAGTATTAAGTTTAGTTATAATTATCTTAGTTTCAATCGGGATTATATGTATACAGTGATACCCCAAACTTACGCAATAGGTGGGACCGAGCGATAACCGCGTAAGTCGAATTCGCGCAAGTCGGGGTATAATTTTGCAATTTGTGTAAAACCCAAGTCGGATATATGTAAGCTAATAAATGTTCTCGTTAATCTTATCTCGTCTTTTGATTCGTTCACGGTTACAAGAAAGCACCACATAGAATCTCTCAAGTCTCCATAGATATAACAAACACAGAAATAAATAACACAAAATAAATTGTAGCTATGTGTCGATTCCGCGTGACACGTCCGAACATGTAAGCTGAACAATAGTGTGGGGGGAGTGAGTAATCAAGAGTTGCATGACACTCAAACAAAAGACGAATCGACGAGATTTGAAAATCGCGTAACTCCAGGTTCGCGTAAGTCGAGGTAGCGTAAGTCGAGGTATTACTGTATATTAAATTTGTCACAAGAAGTTTGAATGACAGAGGAGACACTGTAAATATATCTGTATATCTTTGTCTCTGTGATGGGCATTTCATTCTCTGTCAACTCATTCGACTAGTAAAGCGATTTGATCACTATTTGCTTTCTTGTCTTATCACGTGTGTTACACCAACACATGTTCACCCTAACCACATGAAATGATTATAAGAGAAAATAAGAGAAATAAAGCTGTAGAATAATATGAAAATAAAATCTTAGCCCATGCAAATGCTAATGCATGCATTTGCAAATTCAAAAAGTAATATTTTTGTTGCTTTTAAGTATTATATATATTTTTAGGTACTTTTCTTATTAAAATATATCTATCTACTATGTACTGTGCATAAACTGGTTTCCAAAATTAACTGAACAAATTCAGTATTTCTCTCAAAACTGGGTTTGTATAAACATACAATGGACAAAACCAAACCAGCACCATGAAAACAAAAATTTACAAATATTTTCTTCTATATAGAAATACAGGTATACCTCACCTTATGTCAGTAATTTGTTCCAGGAGAGGTGAAGAAGAGAATTTACTTGTCTCTGAATTTACTTGTCACTAGGCTAAACCACAAATAACCATTCCCAGTTCTGTATTTTATTTATAAATGCATTTTTAATAATATATGGTTAATAAGAATCTATTTTAAGCTTACAAACAAATAAATTTTAGTTTTTAATATAGTACAGAAAAAAAAGTAATCTAAATTTGCGAATACATGTATGTACGTACATACTTGTAAATACTGTATAATGTTTACAATTTGGCGATGTTTACAGTACATTGTCGACTATTTATTAGTAAATGTGGTTTGCTCTAAGACATTATAAAATAAGATGATTTTGTAAGGTTAAATAACAAATACAGTTATTAAAATTATTTTGCGATAGTAGAAAATAAACTAATTTATGTTAAGTTTACCAATATCGAGTGGCGTTGACAATGACTCCAAACAGTAGATATTGGTGGTCTTAAAGACCACTAAATAAGATCAATTAGTGTGTAATGTCACTCTGTGTTGTCATCTTATTTAGTGGTCTTAAAGACCACTAAATAAGATGACAACACAGAGTCACAGATGTTTTCATATTTCGTTCTCTAGGATTTACAATGATTATATTAACATTTACTGCAAATTTATGTATTTTAATATGATTTTATGTGCTTTTAACACTTTTCTAGTGATATTATGACTTCAATATTTATGGCAGACAGATGTAAAGTCAAATAAAATGACTTAAACTTGATTTTTATTTTTTCATATAATATATTTTTTTTGACAAATGACATATAATTGAGAACAACTTAACTTGAAATGACGATGTCTACAGGTATACCTTGGGTTACGTCAGGTAAACAATATAGAACCAAACGGCTAATGGCTAATGAAAATCAAATGCTTTTTTAGATGTTCCAACTGATCACGTAATTAGAATACATTGGGTTTAAAATTTCAAAATATGTATATCATCTAAATGATAAATGAATAAATAATCAATATTTTCACATTAATTATTATGACATAAATATCCTATGCAATTTAAATCAACATTAACATGCATTTGTGTCAGCGGAATCTAGTTCAAAAATGGCACGCGATGCTGTGGACAGTATGTCCGTTTTCTTAAAGTTAATAGTGACTCCCTGCTTAATTGCTCTGTACATTTCAACGGCCTCCAGGTATTTAAGTTGTACTCGTTCTGAAACCCTATGCAATAATTTTATGTCCTGTAGTTCAATACATACGTCCTCACTACCTGCATATGTCACTAGCGCCGTAGTTGACAACTTTTTTCTAATGGAATATTCATACTCCTTCATCCTCATGGCCAGACCTCTCGTTGTCTTATTCTGTGTCCCCTCAGTCTAGTATCTTCAAAATGATACTTGACATCGAGAAAATGATTGAAGGACTAAATCACACTACTAAGGAATATTTCAGATGGAAAACAATGATGACAATCTGCAATAGACAGAACAATATTCCATCCAGGATCCTCTGGCCATCCATCAGGGCATCTAGAAGAATGAGCATGACATTGTTGCCCTAAGGGCAGATAAATCAAAACACATGGTACATATGAAAAAGGAATTGTACTGCAGTGCTATAGTACAATATATCTCAGATACAGAATGCACAATAGCACCTCGTGATTTCCTTAAAAAAAATAACTGCCAGAGTGTGAAAGATCCCAAGGCTCCCCTTGCTAATATTTTGAATCTGTCCTCAATGAGAGTTATGGTACTGACAAAGCCACGCATATTTGTTTTCACAAAAACCCATAAAATTGGCCAACAGTTACATATGGTGGTAGATAAAACTACTTCTCCCACTATTAAAATGGAGTAACTACTTAACATATACATCAATTGCAATCTAGAGAAACATATGTGCATTGTCACTAATCCAGAACAAGTACTTCAAAAACTATGGGATCTTAACAATTCATCGATCACATATCTCACAGTATGTGACTATGAAGCATTGTTCCCATTTATAAAACTTGAGCCCTGTTTCTGTGAGCTGAGAGATTTTCTTCTGACAAAGGTGGAAGGTGCTTATAGGTATCAACTGGATGTATTAGATCTAGCACACTTGATGGTACACTCTTCCTTCTTTGAATACTAAGATATAACTTACCTACTAATGAGGAGTGTACCTATGGGTAGCCCAATATCAGG